TCCATCCCATTTTGGAGTGAACTTATTCCCTGTATGTCGAGTTGTAATGATTGGTCTTCGCACTGCAAGTACGAGCTCACCAACTTGAAATGATCGAGGTCATACCTTTTTGTTGAAAACGTTGGACATGCGGGCCGATAACATTCTAGCGCTTGTTGGGCATCGAATCTTCTTTCATCCAATGCTTCCAACTCTTGAAGACGAAGCTGAGCATTATCCTCCACTGTTAGTCCTTCTTGTACCGCCATTCGTAGAGATGGAATTTCTCTTTCTAGAGGGAGCACGGCTTCTACTCCATATACAAGAGAATAAGGCATAGCACCAGTCGGAGTGCGATAGGTAGTTCGATACGCCCATAATGCTTCACCAATTCTTTCCTGCCAGTGTCGCTTGGACTTGGAGACCACTTTCTTCAATAAATTACATAGCGTTTTGTTAAACGCTTCTGCCAACCCATTTGCCGCAGCATTGTACATGGATGAATTATACTACTTGAAGCCAAATTTCTCACATAATTTTTCTATTAGGCTGTTGGAAAACTGTTTTCCATTATCTGTGGCAATGCGATGCGGGATGCCATAACGGTAGATGAGATGGGTGCGAATAAAATCAGCTACATTTTCTTTCTTAGCTTCTTTTAGTGCAACAACCTCAGCCCATCTTGAGAAATATTCTGTTCCTGTGAGAATGTAAGAATGTCCCACTGATGATCTGGGAGTTATAGGACCAACAAGATCGAGTCCCCAAGCTTCAAAGGGCCATGAAGCTATAGTTGGATGGAGTGGCTCCGGAGACTGATGTATGAAGTTGACATGAAATTGACAAGCCTCACATTTCTTTGCATATTGCATCGAGTCTTGGACCGTTGTAGGCCAATAGTAGCCCATCCTTTTCAATTGGAAATGAAGCTTTGGTCCAGATTGGTGAGCCCCGCATACGCTCGAGTGGGCTTCTTCTAAAGCTTTTATCGACTCTTCTTTTCCTAAGCATCGAAGGAAAAGACCTTCATACGAACGGCGATAGAGAGTTTCTTTGTAATAAATGAAACGAGCTGCTCTCCTTCGTACTTCTGTTCTATGTCGATTATCTGTAGGGAGTTTTCCATGTTGGAGATAATTTATAATTGACTGCTGCCAATCTTCTTCTTCAATCACATAGACGGATATTGCATTCACTTCTTCACTCTCACTTTCAGTTGGTGGTA